GTACAATACAGTGAGAGGAGACAGATACGAAAAGAAGACTTCCAAAGGAGGTGACATTTAAATTGGATCTTGGAGAACAACATGCATAAGTGAGAGGGTTATTCCAAGCAAAGGGAGAAGCAGAGGTGGGAAAAGATAAGGCAGGCTCACTAGCTGCTGAGTACAGTGTGGCTTCAGCATGGGCATTTTGGGGGTGGGAGTTTGTGGAAAAGAAAGAAAGGGGGGTGAGGGGCATAAAACAAAGAAATGTGTGTTCTGCCCTAACAACAATCTTGGTTGTACTCTAATCACTGCAGGAAGCCTGCCCAGGTGTTAAAGCAAGGACTGACAAGATTGGGTCTGGGTTTAGAAATTCTGACAGAGGAGTAGGGGCACAAGTGAAAGGGGAGTAGAGATTAGGTCCAAGTGTTGAGGAACAGCGATACTGAAATGCAGGTTAAAAGAAAAAGAATCCAGGAAAGAAATTAGAGTCAGGAAGGCAACAAACTAGGGAACCAGAGCACGCAATGACCCAGTTCTGAAATGCCTTCTCCCTGTTATTGCTCTCTATTGCTATTGTGCATCCAGAAGGAGCCCAATAAATAACTGCCTAACACCAGCTGGGATCCACAAATAGTGCAACCACAGAAGATACTGCTTGCTGTAAAATCCATACAGCACACACACACCGTTTGGAAAGCCTCACACCTATGGGGAACCTCTCACAGTTGTGTGGCCTCCTCTTTCATTTATGAGCGTCAAGGGCTGATTTACTCATCCCCAATCCCCTTCAGGAGAACGTGGGACCTGTAATTTGGGAGTGTCTCTGCCGAAGTGGAGCAGAGGATATCCACAAGGTAAGCCTAACATCCCGCTCCTGCAGGATCTCCAGACTGAGGTCTAGTGGCTTGGGAAAAATACACACAAGATGCTCTGTAGCGTGGTGGTCCTGGGCGGATAGTCTCTGAACTACAATTCCCACAAACCATTGGGGCCCAAACCAGCCAGAAAAAGCGGGCTCTCTCTGGATGTCTCATGGGAATTGTAGTGCCATAGATTTTGGAAACCACTATAGGTTCCCTCCCTTGATCCCATTCGACTTCCACGAAACTCCACCAAAACCTCCCTCAGGTCTTTAAGGAGGTTGAGCGACCCACCCATCACGGTCCATTTGGTCTGGCCCAAACAAAGGAGGTGGGGCAGAGGGATGCCAAAAGGGGCTATTCCTTTCAGATACCTTCGCATTTGCTGGGCAAGCGTTCTGTGTCATCGTCCTCCTCCTTCGGCGCCCCAGCCCAAGCTGGGACGCACGCAGTCAAAATGAAAAGCAATATTCCCAACGGCACAGGTTCCATGACAAAGTGCTGCCCACAACTTAACAACCCTTGCCTTCTAACCAACTTCGGGAAGGCAGCGGGCCCTTTTAAATCCGAGGCAATTTAGCACGGAGTCAAGCCTAGCACGGAGGCGCACGCGCAGTGCCGACCCAAAAGGGGGCGGGGCCACGTCGCTCCGGCCTTCCCCGCCTGGGATTTGTGGCGCCTCCGGAAGGTCCTGGCCGCCGGGTAGTGAGGGGATACACAGAAGTCATCACCACAGAAGTGTTTGCTCCTGCCGTGTAGCTGTAGACACAGAGTTTTTACATAATTTCAGGCCGTGAGTCTAGAGAACTTATTCCTGCTCAGAGAAGGGGTAGGGACTGGCTTCTTTTCTCTGCCAGGACCGGCTCCTGGGAGGGGGCGGGGCCAACATGGCGCCCAGCGCCGGCTGAGCGGCGCTTTGGCGGCGGTGAGAGTTCTTCGTGCCTGGGGCGCTTGGCTGACGGGAGGGGGTCGAGGGGTACCCCGGCCTCGACCCCTTGTCTGGCCTGTGCGGGGACCAGGAAGAGGACGGTTGGTGGTGTGTCCGTACGCGTGGGGATTCTGTGTGTCTGCATTGGAGGGATGATGGGGGATGAGGTGGGCTCCCGGCTCCTAGACCCACGGCCTGGGGACCGCGGGCCCCTTTTCCTGGTGGCTGTAGCTTAGGTTAGTCCTATGTGAAGGCTTTCCGCCGACTCCACCGCCCTGAGGGGCTGTCGGGCGCTGTGAGCTCTTGCTGGCAGAGACCGCAGGGTACTGAAGGGTTCGTAGTTGACCAGTACACTGGGGCGCGACCGCCTCCTGTACCCCGGCTCCAGGCGCGGAGTATGTGTGAATAAGTGTGTTCCCGGTAGATGAGACTCACCAGAGTGGAGGAGGAGAGCTGGGATTTGTAGGGAAGAACCAAATTCTCTTTGGTCTCCATCTTCTCACGCCCTCCGCGCGTCCGCACCAGCCCCACCGACGTCCCGCAGTCGCAGTCGGTCCTGAACACTTTTGCATCCGTTTTCCCAATACCAGCCTTAAGCGAGCCCCCTTCCTGCTGGCCAGACAGTAGATTCCAAGCTCGGGTCTGTCTGTACTTGTTCCTCTGGATAACACCGGTACCGAGTATGTATTGAGCGCTTAGATCTCTAATCCTCACAGTTCGTTCATTTACTCAGCAAATATGTATTGAATATTTACAGTGTCTCGGGCAACAGTCTGCTGACTTGGAACACATCAGTGAACACAATAGACAAAGATCCCTGTCCATACGGCGCGGGAGGAGGAGGTGTGGTGATCATCGATAAGAAATGATACAATATGGATTGGATGTTAGATGCCATGGGGAGGAAGAGGGTGGGTGGAGTGCGGTGTTAAAGAGGGTGGTGGAAGTAGGCAGTCAGGCTGTCTGGGGAAGAGCATTCCAGGCAGAAGGAATAGCAAAGGCCATGAAGCAAGAGCATGCCTCTCAGGTTTGAACAGCAAGGAGGGCAGTGGAGCTGGAAGAAGGAAGGAAAGGAGGTCAGAGATGTCATGCAGAGAGGGCCTTGTAGACTATAAGAATTTTGGGTTTTACTGGATGGTAACTGGGGAGCCATTACAGAGTTTGAACAGTGACCCAATCTGACTTATAATTTGACAGAATCACTCTGGCAGATGTGTTGGGAGTAGAAGTCAAGAGCCAGGTGAAAGCCGGAAGAGCTTCTCCGGGGGCTATTGACGTTCTCCAGGTGATAGATGATGGGCACCTGCAGTGGGAATGGAGGACTCTGGTTGGATCGCCTAGTGCAGTGGTCGGCAAACTGCGGCTCGCGAGCCACATGCAGCTCTTTGGCCCCTTGAGTGTGGCTCTTCCTAAGCCTTAGGAGTACCCTAATTAAGTTAATAACAATGTACCTACCTATATAGTTTTAAAAATTTGGCTCTCAAAAGAAATTTCAATCATTGTACTCTTGATATTTGGCTCTGTTGACTAATGAGTTTGCCGACCACTGGTCTAGGACATTCTAACATTAAGCAGGTGAGGAGGAAGAACCAGAAAAGGAAACCGAGGGGTAATGGCCAGTGAGGTAGGAGGAAAACCAGAAGTTGGTGCCACAGTGGAGTAAAAAAAAAATTTTCAGAAAATAGTAGTCAGCTATGCTATGTACTGCTTTTGAGGTGAAAGAAGATGAGAACAATGGGCCTTGGATTTGGCAATGTGAAGTCATCCATGACCTTGAGAGTTTCAGGGACCTAGAGGGGCAAAGGCCTGATTGGAGTAGGTTCAAGAGAGGAGAGGAGAATTAGAAACAAAGTTAAGACAACTTTTTGAGGGAGTTTTATTGCAAGGAGGAGAAAAAATGGGGCATATCGTATAGAGAAACTGAAATAAAAGATTTGTCTTAATGTTTAATTTGGTAAAATACACATAAAGCCCACCATCTTTTTTTTTTAATATATTTTATTGATTTTTTACAGAGAGGAAGGGAGAGAGATAGAGAGTCAGAAACATCGATGAGAGAGAAACATCGGTCAGCCGCCTCCCGCACATCCCCCACTGGGGATGTGCCCGCAACCCAGGTATATGCCCCTGACCGGAATTGAACCCGGGACCCTTCAGCCCGCAGGCCGACGCTCCATCCACTGAGCCAAACCGGCTTCGGCAAGCCCACCATCTTAACCATTTTTAAGTGTAGTTTAGTGGCATTAAATACATTCACATTGTTGTGTAACCATCACGACAATCCATCTCCAGAACTCTTCACATTGTAAAACTGAAATTCTGTCCCTATTAAACAATAACTTCCCATTCCCCCTCCTCCAGCCCCTAGCAACCACCGTTCTACTTTCTGACTCTGAGTTTGACTACTTTAAGACCCTCACACAAGTGGAATCGTAGCATATTTGTCCTTTTGTGACTGGCTTGTTTCAATCAGCATAATGTCCTCGGGTTCATTCATGTTGTAGCATGTGTCAGAATTTCCTTGTTTTTAAGCTAGGAAAAATAACTGCATTTTGTAGGCTGATGGAAATGATCTGGTAGGTTGAGAAATTGATGACCGAGGGAGATGGGAGAAACACTGGAACAATATTGGAGGTGGTGTCAGGCATGACCAGTTTCTCTGAAGTAACAGGTGGGAAGGCAGGTATGTGGGTACAGTGCTACTCGGTGGGTAGACATGGTGAAAGCCTGGAGGTCCCTGCTGATGGTCAGAAGTGGGGAAGGAGAAAGTCTGTCACACAGGACAGAGGGAGACTGAGTGCAGTGAGTTACAGTGTGCTTGTCTGGCAGGATTAAGGGCCCCTTTGAAGTTTGTGGCCATGAATTTAAAGTGGTAATTAGCCATGATGGTTGTGTATTTTTCTCATCATATTGAATTGTACAAGAATATAGGGTCAGGGTGTGAGAAGTTGTATTTAACCAGTACTGTATTTGTGTCAAGTAATAATGCAAGAAGGGACAAGAGAGATGAAAGTATGCGTAAAACAACCTTAGGAAAAAAGGGTCTTCCGTATTTTATGGAAATATGGAAACCCAAAGCAGGGACAGTTGAAGTAACCTGCCCTAGTAACACAGCACAGTAATGCTAGGGCTGGTATTTAAATTGAGGGTCAAGATCATTCCTACTGTACCTCACTTGTGTAGTGCCTGACATAGAATCAGAGCTCAATAAATTATGTTGAACGGGATCAAATTGCTACCTCCTTCTGTTACACCCAATGCTGACTCATGTGGGGATGGACGGTACCCCCGAGTTCTTTCCTCCCCACATCCTCATTGTCCTCCATTTGTTGTGGCCTCTCCTGAGCAGACAGCCCTCTACTTTGGGTCTCACATTTCTTTTTATCTCTTCTGCCCACCCCTTCCCCTCAGGATCTCCCATCTCTCCACTGGGGGCGTCATCCTTCTGGGGAGGGAGGAGAGCCCCAGAATGGCTGAGGAGAAGAAGCTGAAGCTCAGCAACACTGTGCTGCCGTCGGAGTCCATGAAGGTGGTGGCCGAGTCAATGGGCATCGCCCAGATTCAGGAGGAAACCTGTCAGCTGCTGACAGATGAAGTCAGTTACCGCATCAAGGAGATTGCACAGGTAATCGGGCCCCTCCACCCGGTCCTGCACTGTACTGAGGAGGATGCCCAGGCCCCCTTCCTCGGGGTCTCAGGCTGGCATTTGTTCTCCCACCCAGGACGCCTTAAAATTCATGCACATGGGGAAGCGGCAGAAGCTCACCACCAGTGACATTGACTATGCACTGAAGCTAAAGAACGTTGAGGTGATTGGGACACACAGGACTGAGGTGGGCAGGGGTGTGAGAACAGGCCTCCCATGGGCCCCCTTCTCATCCTGCTGTCTTTCTCTTTCTCTCTCTCTCTCTCTCTACTGAGATAGCCACTGTATGGCTTCCATGCTCAAGAGTTCATTCCTTTCCGGTTCGCCTCTGGTGGGGGCCGGGAACTCTACTTCTATGAGGAGAAGGAGGTTGACCTGAGTGACATCATCAATACCCCTCTGCCCCGGGTGCCCCTGGACGTCTGCCTCAAAGGTTGGGGGAAAGGAGAGCGGGGGCAGGGGAAGGAAAGGAGGGGCAGTGCTTATGGGTTTAAGGAGACTCACAAGGATGAAACCCTCGTGTGAGATCCCTGGCGAGTGGCAGGAAGTGGGGACAGGAAGGAGAACACAAGTTTCTTAGTGTGGAGCGACTCCCTACTATTCATGTGCAGTTCAACTTGATACCTTCCTTCCTCACAGCTCATTGGTTGAGCATTGAAGGCTGCCAGCCAGCTATCCCAGAGAATCCACCTCCAGGTAACCTCCCTGCCCAGAGCCCAACCCTCTGTCTCCCCCCGCAACCCCACCCCTCCTTCTACCTCTCAACACTCTTGCAACTGACTGCTTTCCTACCAGCTCCCAAAGAGCAGCAGAAGGCTGAGGCCACAGAACCCCTGAAGTCAGCAAAGCCAGGCCAGGAGGAAGATGGACCCTTGAAAAGCAAAGGTCAAGGGGCTGCTCCAGCTGATGGCAAAGGTCAGTACTGCTAGGCCAGGCCTCTTCTGGCTCTTTCCCCAAAGCCAGATAGTCACTGTGAATTGGGTGAGGTCAGCCAGAAAGCCCCAGAAGGGACCAAGCAGCGTAAGGGAAGCCAGGTCTCCCTGGGTAGGTGAGTAGAAGGTAAAGGTTTCTCTGATACTGAGGCCGCTTCTGGAGCTTTCTTTTTCAAGCCCATCTTCCCAA